CCTTTCTGATTATGTAGGAGCTAAAGCGAACTCTGCGGAGTCTTTTCCGCAGTTTTATGGGAAAACTGCGCACAAGTTGGCAGAAAGGACCTGCTGGAACAGGATGGAGCAGGGTGCGTAGCTTCTTTACCAAGTCTTTGTGCTCTATCGTAGTTGGCACTCCATCAGGTAGTCTCCAGTGGAAACATTCCACATGTTCTGGGAGCACGCCATACTCCTGCTCCAAGATCTCACATGTTTCCTGTGATAGGGCCTGTACTGACAGGTGACCCTCATTGCGGGATTCCAGGGCCTCCTCTGAGAGTTGCACTGTGAGCCGTGGGCTGGTAGGTGAATAGGACGACAGTGGTCCAAGATCGCCCTCTGACGATGACGATGGGTCAGGGGAGTGCAATGGCAGCAACCTGGTGCGGGCACTGTCCTTAAGGTTTTTCTGCTGAGGCGGTGCCTGCGCTGTGGTGGGTGTCTGAACCTTTAATGTGGCCTGCATCAGGTATTGGGAACACTGCAGGCCTGGATTCACGTTCCCCCGGCTTCCTTCTCGGCTGGGACCCGCCTGGACTCTGCCATCCGGATTAGCAGTACTGAGGATTGGGTTGGGCGCCTCTTGGTGGGTCCCACTCTGACTGGGGGCTTTGACCAGGTCCCGGATCTCTTGCAGTATGTAGCGGAGCAGGGAGTAGGTGGGAGGTTGGGTTGGTGGCTGAATTGATGGTCGGGGTTGAGCGTAGAGCTGTGACAGCGTCATCTGGGGAGTGCCTCCGCTGGGGGTGCCGGCTGGTGCAGAACAGCTGGCCATTGGGCAGGGTAACCCTGGGTGGAATAGTGGAGGTGGAGATGGCGGATATGGCGAAGAAGGCTGGTTTGGTACACTTGGCCCCTGCTGCTGGCACTGGAACCCAGGTTGGCCCCCCGGGTTCTGCTGGTATGGATATGGGGATCTCCAGTTCTCAGCCATGTTCTGCACCTACAGTACAGACCAAAAGTTTGGACACACCTTCTCATTCAATGCGTTTTCTTTATTTTCATGACTATTTACATTGTAGATTCTCACTGAAGGCATCAAAACTATGAATGAACACATGTGGAGTTATGTACATAACAAAAAAAGGTGAAATAACTGAAAACATGTTTTATATTCTAGTTTCTTCAAAATAGCCACCCTTTACTCTGATTACTGCTTTGCACACTCTTGGCATTCTCTCCATGAGCTTCAAGAGGTAGTCACCTGAAATGGTTTCCACTTCACACTTATCACGGATAAGGGTTAATTAGTGGAATTTCTTGCTTTATCAATGGGGTTGGGACCATCAGTTGTGTTGTGCAGAAGTCAGGTTAATACACAGCCGACAGCCCTATTGGACAACTGTTAAAATTCATATTATGGCAAGAACCAATCAGCTAACTAAAGAAAAACCAGTGGCCATCATTACTTTAAGAAATGAAGGTCAGTCAGTCCGGAAAATTGCAAAAACTTTAAATGTGTCCCCAAGTGGAGTCGCAAAAACCATCAAGCGCTACAACGAAACTGGCACACATGAGGACCGACCCAGGAAAGGAAGACCAAGAGTCACCTCTGCTTCTGAGGATAAGTTCATCCGAGTCACCAGCCTCAGAAATCGTAAGTTAACAGCAGCTCAAAGACCAGATGAATGCCACACAGAGTTCTAGCAGCAGACCCATCTCTAGAACAACTGTTAAGAGGAGACTGCGCCAATCAGGCCTTCATGGTCAAATAGCTGCTAGGAAACCACTGCTAAGGAGAGGCAACAAGCAGAAGAGATTTGTTTGGGCCAAGAAACACAAGGAATGGACATTAGACCAGTGGAAATCTGTGCTTTGGTCTGATGAGTCCAAATTTGAGATCTTTGGTTCCAACCGCCATGTCTTTGTGAGACGCAGAAAAGGTGAACGGATGGATTCCACATGCCTGGTTCCCACTGTGAAGCATGGAGGAGGAGGTGTGATGGTGTGGGGGTGTATTGCTGGTGACACTGTTGGGGATTTATTCAAAATTGAAGGCACACTGAACCAGCATGGCTACCACAGCATCCTGCAGCAACATGCCATCACATCCGGTTTGCGTTTAGTTGGACAATCATTTATTTTTCAACAGGACAATGACCCCAAACACACCTCCAGGCTGTGTAAGGGCTATTTGACCAAGAAGGAGAGTGATGGAGTGCTGCGGCAGATGACCTGGCCTCCACAGTCACCGGACCTGAACCCAATCGAGATGGTTTGGGGTGAGCTGGACCGCAGAGTGAAGGCAAAGGGGCCAACAAGTGCTAAACACCTCTGGGAACTCCTTCAAGACTGTTGGAAAACCATTTCAGGTGACTACCTCTTGAAGCTCATCGAGAGAATGCCAAGAGTGTGCAAAGCAGTGATCAGAGCAAAGGGTGGCTATTTTGAAGAAATTAGAATATAAAACATGTTTTCAGTTATTTCACCTTTTTTTGTTAAGTACATAATTCCACATGTGTTCATTCATAGTTTTGATGCCTTCAGTGAGAATCTACAATGTAAATAGTCATGAAAATAAAGAAAACGCATTGAATGAGAAGGTGTGTCCAAACTTTTGGCCTGTACTGTATCTTAAGGTTGTAAAGGACAGCTTTAATACACTTTACCTTTTGGTTCTTCAACCTCTCCCTTCAACACTTAATTCTAAACATAAGCCATGCAAGCAGGATTAATTGTTAGTGGTTAAGTGTTAGTACTGGTCAGGTGACAGCAAGGGTACTAGGGGCTGGTGGCTCGTGGCCTGCTCCGTTCTATATAATCTCCTCATATTCTCCTTCCGCTTGCCTATATTTCTGCTCATATTGGACAGCTTCTACTGCCATGCCCCGTGGCATTATCTCATACTGGTTTCTGACATATCGCCCTCTAGTCTGGTCTTGATCCTTAGGAACCTTTCCCTGAAAGCCACTCATGTCTTCATATGGCTCTGCGCCTTCGGTGGGTCGTGGACCTTGGTCTATTATGACAAACTGTCCCATATGGGTTTCCATGGCTCTTCTGAGCACTACCCGCACTAAGGGAATAATACAACAAGACACTACAAGAAGGGTCAACACTACAAGTCCCAACAGCACTCCTATCATTCGCAGAATCTTCCCAGGGGATAGTTGTCCTAACCATTCCCAAATTGAAGAAACCCTAGTGTTCCAACTGGAGTGCTGCACATGTTGGTCTCTTAATGTATGTATGTTGTCTAAGGCTCGGGTTAAGTTGCCATCCTCCCCTGTGTGCATGGGGATGACAGTGCAACAGCCTTCTCCTATCACATCACAGACCCCTTGGTCTTGAGCAAGCATTGTCTTGATAATAAGCCTGTTTGGCAATGTCATCAAAGATGTGGCATGTAATTGCTCACTTACTTCTTGTAAAGCGTCTATGGTCCAGTTTACAAATCTCTGTTGATTATACCACAAATAATTTACCCAGCGGCTATTACGTTCTATGTACTGGGCATTCACAAAGTATCCACCAAGGGGCACGGAACCCCATCCTCTGGCCCACGATATCCAGTCCTCTGATATAGCCTGATGCCCCTCAGGCATCCCATACGGTACCTGATTGTATGTAATGTATATGTTACCATCCTCCTTCCAGAAGTGTGTTTGAGTGTCAGCCAATCTACGAGACCTTTTTTGAATACTGTTATTTAGACTGTTGTTTAGACTTATTATCATAGTTTGTCCTGTTAATATTACTGGGGTACAGATTCCTGTCCAATTCGCTGGTAGTACAGCTTGTACCTGGCGATTGCTCTCACACATCCAAAATATGTCTGCCAATAGCTCTATGCCGTTACTAAGGTCACCAATCCCTACCCAAGTGGCATCTGTACAATTACCTCACCATATAGTTGAATTCTTTGAAGCGCCGCTGATCACCTGCCCACACTGAATTTTGGCTTCTTCAGTGGTGTTACATATCTTTTCCTGTCTGCGGGAGTCTGCAACTCCGTCATTTGTGATATTTTCATGCCTGCACTGGATCAGCACTTCCGCCTCTCTGGTAGCGTTGAGAGAGGTGGAGTTGTCTAACACGCTCTCTATCCCCTCTCCTCGTGCTATACAAAATGGGAATACAATATCTTGTGCCAAATGCACTACTGGAGGTACTTGATACTCCTGTTTGATTGGTTCTGGGGCACCTTTAAGACTTACAGGACAGATTGCAGTGTTATTAGTGTGCTTCCCTCTTCCTGCTGCCATCCACATGGTGCACTGTGTAAAACAGAAAAATGTGCGTGCGCATTCCTCTATGTCTGGGAGAGGCCTGACCCTGGGTAGGCCCCTATTCCTGTGACATGCTATACATAAGCTATTAGTGACTTGTTTCGCGGAGTATTCTAACCATTGATAGAATTTGTTGGACTTCCAGGTGGTTGTTCTTATTACCTCTACTCTCCGTGCCCTCACAGCCCTTGATTTTCTCTGGGGTACTGGGTCCAACTGAAGCCACTGGTGGGCTACCTTTAAAGGTATGCTGCGCCCTGTATCTGTGTCGGTGCCACCTCTCATGTCACACATAACTCTTGCTGTCACCTTCCCCTCTGCACTACAGCGTGGTCCTATGGACCGGCCATGCAACCCAATGCCTCCTGAACCCTCCACCAATATGTCAACGTAAGCATGTGATTTATAGTAGGTTAATGAAACTATCTCTCTGTATGGTATCTTGCCCTGCTTTGCGGCTATGGTCCCTAGTGCCACTGCACACTCAACTACTTGCTCCTGGCCTTGTCCACCCTGCTCTACTCCTTCACTTTGCTTCACTCCTGCCAGGATGAGCAATAGAGTTAGTAGTACTGCAGCTATTACTCCCACTTTAATTCCTCCCCCCGTACTGTCTGGGCCTTCAGGCCTTCCCTGGCCTGGTCTACCGAGGGGCTGATCCCTCTCTGGGGCCTGTGTCTCCTCTGTCTGCGTTGCCTGTGTCTTCGTCTGACCCCTCTGTGTCTCTAGGCCCGCCTGCTTCTGAACTGCTGCCTTCTGGGCTGCTGCTTTATTCTCCTTCTTCTCCTTCTGCCTCCGCTCCCTCTGCTCTCTCTGTTCTTTCTGTGCTTGGGCCCTCATCACCGTCCCCGCGGCCATCAGATGACAACTCATGAGGTTCATCGCCAGCCACTGTGGACAGGGAGCCTCCCTCTGAGGTATTCTCTGATGACACCCTCTCTGGCAGTGACCCATTGCTGTCACTCCGAACTCTGCCCCGGTCCTGTCTGCTCGCCAAGCGTGCTGACCTCCTGGTCCCCTGTTCCTGCGGGGAGGCATCGCCTTCCCCTTCTGGACGACCCTCTGCTTCCCTTGGGGCGGCCTCGCCTTCCCCTTGTGGTTCTAGGGGAGCTGCTCTCTGTCTGGCTCTAGGCCAGGGTATAGGTCTCTCTGGGTTGTTAGCTCTGCAGCAGTGATTAAGATGGAACCAAACGTCCTTACGACCTTGTATGGGCCTTCCCTTCGTGGCTGGTCCCACTTTCTTTTGAACATCTTGACGTACACCCACTGTCCAGGAAGTATTCTCTGAAGGTCCTCTGGGATTTCGACCCCTCTGTCCTCGGTGGTGGCTCTCACCTGCTGGAACACAGCCCTGTGGATACGAGTCAGACTTCGTAAGTAATCAAACATTTCACCTTGCAACTGTTCCAGCGAGGGCCCTTCATAGGGACCTTTCAAGTATAGTATTGGCATGGGTCGACCCGTAAGCGTTTCATGCGGTGTTAGATGCGTGACTCTGCTAGCTTGTGAGCGCACTGACATTAGAGCAAGCGGTAAAGCATCCACCCAATTGAGTTTATCTCCACTGTCTGCCACTATCTTAGCTATTTTGGCCTTCAAGATACCATTTGCTCTTTCTACTGCTCCCTGTGACTGGGGATGGTATACGCAGCCAAATTTTTGTTTAATTCCCAATTGCTTTAGTGTCTCTCGCACAACATTGGACACAAAGTGGCTCCCATTGTCTGATGATATAGTATCTGGCATCCCAAACCTTGGGAAGACTTCTTGACACAGAAACTTGGCAACTGTTCTGTGTTCTGATCTTGCGGTGGCTTTTGCCTCCACCCATCTGCTGTATCTACATATAACTACCAAAATATACCTCATTCCTCTTGCTCTCGACTGCAGTCCCATGTCTATGTAGTCTAGCATAAGGTGTCTAAAGGGACCGTCTGGAGGTGGTATATGTGCCAGAGGGGCTATAAAAACTTTCCTGATGTTGTATCTTGCGCAAGTCTCGCATTCGCTTAGTACTCTATCTACTGTTGCTGCCATGAATGGTGACCACCATACTGCTTGCAATTTCTGTAGGATCTCCCCCCTTGCGCAATGGTCACTACCATGCGCCCAAATTATCGCATGTCTTAACAGTAAGGTTGGTAGGACAAAATGACCATGACTATCTCGTCAGAGACCATGCATTGGACCCTGTGGTACCGTTCTGATGGCTCCACGTTGCACCCATAGGCGTTTTTCACTTTCACTAACTCTGTTTTGAGCCATTATAAGGGAAGACATGGTAGTAAGGGGTTCACAATCTTGTATGGTTAGTATGGGTGCCATTGTTGCACCTATTGCTGCCTGTTTGGCCGCCTCATCAGCTAGGTTGTTCCCTTTAGCTATCAATGAGTCAGTCTTTTGGTGGGCTGGACATTTAATTACTGCCAAAGCCGTGGGAAGAAGCATGGCTTCTAATAGTTCAAGGATGGCATCTCCATGAGTGCCAGGAGTGCAGCTCTGCGAAACCCTCGTTTCCATATGTTAGCATGAACATGACAAACGCCATAGGCATACGCTGAGTCTGTATATACATTTAGTGACTTTCCTTCTGCTAATTTACATGCTGCTGTTAGGGCTTTTATTTCTGCGAGCTGGGCTGAGCAAGGCTGAGAGAACTTACATGATTGCAATGTGACAAAATTCTGGTCATCGTTGTCGAGTTGAACAATCCCATATCCGGCGTGGGTACCAGTGGCATCACGGAAACATGACCCATCAACAAACAAAGTGAGATCAGCTGGAATTGGTTGATTATGTAAATCTTCTCTGGCACGCATAAATTTGTCTGTGTCATGAATACAATCATGTGGCATCCCTTCTGTTGGTAACACCAGTTTGGTGGCGGGGTTAATGGTAGTACAGCGCTGAATGTTAAGTTCAGGGGCTGATAGGATTACCTCATAGCCCATGCGTCTGGCTTGTGTTAAAACAAATCGTGGACTTGTCAGTAGTGAAGTTGATGGGAAGTATACAACGTTACAGGATGTCCCATGGTCAGTGATGATGCCTTTTGAAATGCAAATACAGCTGCGGCTAGCCCCTGATAGCAGGGTGGCAGCCCAGCTTCTATGTTGTCAAGCTTGGTGCTGTAATATGCTAAAGATTGCTTCCCTGTGGGAGTGTCTTGCATAAGCACAGCACAAGCAAAGCCTAATCTTTCAGCTACATATAAATGAAAAGGTTTAGCATAGTTAGGAGTCCCCAGTGCTGGAGCGGATTGCATGTCTATTTTTAGAGCTTGGAACGCTCCTTCTGCTTACTCTGTCCACACCAAATGTGCTGCGTTATTGGTTTGACCTGCTGCCCTTATCAGAGCCCTGAGTGGAGCAGTTTTAATGGCATAGTCACAAATCCACGGCCTGCTGTAGCCTGTCATGCCCAAAAAAGATAGCATCTGGCCCACCGTTTGCGGTTGAGGGGCCTTGATAACTGCATCTAACTGAGATGGTGCAATACATCTTTTGTCCACACTCAACTGTCTGCCCAAGTACTCTACAGACTGCTGGCAGAATTGCAGCTTATCTTTATTGACCTTATGCCCTCCTTGTGCTAAAGCTGTGAGCACAGCAATGGAGTCTTTTTCACATTGATCTTTTGTGGGGCTACAGATTAACAGATCGTCTACGTACTGCAAAACTGTGCTTGGCACGTTCAAACTCACTAAGTCTTGTGTCAGCACGCGGTTAAAGATCGAAGGCGACTCGGAGAGCCCCTGTGGGAGCCTCGAGTAAACGTATTGCTGATTCTCGTACGTAAAGGCAAAGAGATACTGAGAATCAGGATATAGTGGTACACTGAAAAAGGCTGAACACAAATCAATCACTGTGTACCACTGGGTGTCTGGTGGAATGTTTGATAACAGTGTGTGTGGGTCTGGAACGAGTAGTACTTCGCCGTCTACAATGGCATTAACTGCTCTCAAATCATGAACTAAACGGTAGTCTGTTGAATTTGGTTTCCTGATGGGAAAAATGGGTGTGTTGCAGGGGCTTTTGATTTTAACCAAGACCCCTGCTTCCACCAAACCCTTAATAGTTGGCCTGATACCATCAATCACATGCTGCTTAAGAGGATACTGTTTCTGATATGGTAGGTTAACATGTGGCTTCAGCTTAATGTAAACAGGTTGGGCTGATTTTATTAATCCTACATCAGTCTTATGGGCTGTCCACAACTGGGGTGGGACCTGGTTTAGCATTTCATTATGTTCTGCAGCAACTACCATGTGTGTGGCTGTGTTTCCATCTACCATTACCTTATCTGCTACTGCTTCATCGCCTACTTTGACTGAGATTCTGATAAACTGCTTATCTTTTGAAATGTGAATGTACTTATTCTTTGTAGGCACCCACTCTTGCACCTGCAGGGCACGCTTGACCATAGGACCAAGATGATGAGACTCATAACCTTCTGCCACTAACAGTGTGATGTATGGCGTGGAATTTGGTACCTGAAACCACCCAGACAATTCCTCTGGGAGGCGGACAGCCGCTGCCACGCCTTCTGGTCCCAAAAACATGTCTTCACTTGTGACTAGACATGGTTTCTTGTTGATTACTGCATCCCAACATTCTTGGTAATCTACATGAGTCAGATCTTGAGCGTGCAGTGCAGTGGCAAAGCGGAAGTATGTGCTGTGTCATAGTGAAGTCGAATCCACAACTCCCATTCAGTCCATGCCTGTTTGAGGTGTGACTTCTGGTGTCAGCTGGAGCCAGTAGGCAAGTGCTTGTTGTTTTCCTGTCGTGTCCTGGGGAAGCTGTGGCATCATATGTTGTGGGGGTTCGTCAGGGAAATCCAAATACAAGCCATCTTGGGTGCACATGATTTTTGCTTTTAATGGGCACAGAATATCTCTTTCTAATAGGTTTACTGGGGTATGAGCTGAATATAGCAAAGGTGCGCATATAACTTTGCCTGCAATGAGCATTGGAACGGGTTCCCTCAGTGGTATGACTTGTGATTTCCCAGAGAAGCCTATTGTTTTTATAGATGACGTGGAAAGGGGGAACCTGGAACCTTCTTTTCCAATGCACAAATATGTGGCACCTGTGTCCACCATGAAAGAGTAATCACGATCGTGAATGACAACAGGTATGATTGGTTCATCTTGTGACTGCAGTGGTATTGCTGGTGACATTAGTTCCCCCTCAGGCTTCTCTGGGCACCCCTACCAAGGGCGTGTCTGCTCCGTGTTGGGCCAGTTTTGTGCTGGACCGTCCCATGGATTACTAGGGCAGTGGGCCCGTATATGGCCTGGCTGACCACACCCCCAGCACAGGTTATCAGGTGGAGCTGGATTGGCTCCTGGATAACCTGTACCCATGTCTGGCGGGCCTGGTTGCTGGTTGGGCGCAGTTTGCTGGAACACATGCTGGTTTCCTGGTATGTAGTTTCGGTCTCCCTTCCAGCCTCCCCTAAACGTTGTATCTCCTCTGGTTCCACCTCTGCCCCGCTCCCTAGGGGGCTGCTGGTTGCCTCTTTATGCTTGTTGCTGGTAATAGTAATGATGATGCAGGGTATTAGCAGAATTGTCATTTCCTGCTACGTTTGGGTCTGTGGGGGTTGGCTGCAGAGGCACTTGGGGCTGGACTGCCTGGGGAGCTGCTTGGTTTGCAATTACCATGGGGGCCTGAACTTCAGTTTTTTCTTTCTCTTTTTCTTTCTTTACCAGCTTACTTAGTTCTCCCAGCTGTAGCTGTGTCAGCTTGTTGGCTAGCTGTTTGCTGTCCTCTTCCATTTTCTTTTTGTCTTTTCTGTAGAGCTCCACGTGATGGATAATATGTTCTGAAAACAGTGGCCAGTCCACCTTCATCAATCCTACCACGCCTTCCAGGCATCGCTGTACATCCTCCGGCATGGCTTTTTTAACCATCATTTTGAACAAGCTCTGAGTCGTTTTATTAGCATTCCATGCTTCCCCTGTCTCTTCCTTCCACCTTTTCTGGAAGCTGTGTAGAAACTTGGAGGGACATTCATCCTCCCCCATGGTTTCTCCCTCAAGTTTGGATGGGTCTCTTTTTTCTGGGTAATGCGCTCTCAGTTGCTGCCACACCCGGGAACGGTAGCCTCCAAAATTCACCCCATCGTGTGCATTGGTGCCAATGGCTGTACTTAAGCCAGCGTCTGTGAATATCTCCTTGGTGGTTTGTTTTACCACCACATAGGTGAGTATAGCTTCGATATCTCCTACGGCCAACTGTATACCAGCTGTGGTTTCTTCCAGAGCCATTATCCATTTATCGGCGCCATCAGTGAACACTGGTAGACGTTCTGCCAGGCCTATCATATCCATGAAGGGCCAGGGCT